CCCCAAAACCCCAAAACCCCAAAACCCCGGGGTGATCATTGGAAGTTGAAGGGATTTAGAAAACTGTGAATTTGACAGAGAGATTGAGCAGCAAGATATTTTAGGGAATTTTTATGGAGGTTTAGGCCCCAGAAGCCTCTTTCTTAGCGTTTGCGTGTAGTTCTGAGGTGAGCTTGTTGAAGCAGAAAGCCACACTACTGATATTAGATGGGTCGTAGACGTCAATGTTGAATTTTTCTTTGAAAATTTCCTTATTTTCGGTCATTGAGACAGTTTTCACAATTTCTCTTTGAATATGGGTTACTTCAGCATCAGAGAAAGCCATTGATATCATCAAATCTTTTTTAGGAGAGGCAAGATTGAACGATGTTCTAAATAGCTTGATCAGTATATCTGTTTGATTCTCAAGATCACTAATTGTGCCTTCATTAGCCTTGATCTTATCAATAGAAGTTTTCATATCTATAAATATGATTAACGAGGATAGCTATGGGAAAATCTAAATCATCAATCTTCATGATGATATTAGAGGATACAATAATTTGTCATTTACTTAAAATCTAAACTAATAAATAACTGATGATCGAGAAGTATAGACGCAGACATTTTGTTTAAATCTAGAACTTCTAGCCCCTGAAGATCAAGAATCTTCTTAGAGGGCATGGATTAAATTACTCTATTCCTCAATGACATCAAGTAACTCACAAATACTAGAAAAGGGACTAAATTTATTCTGTATAGTTTGAAAATTAGGTTAAAGTCCATAAAATTCAAATTACTCTTTTGGACTTCAGTGATGAATGCATCAAAAACATCTTCCTTTGTTAACAAGAAATAAGGAATGGTCTTCCATAATTCTCATCTGACTTTATCGGGATAAAAAATCCCGTAAGCACTGCTAAGTTTTGGAGCTGGCTCTGGAACTGGTTTACAATCAGTCTTGAAGAATACATAATTCTCGATGTCTTTCATAGTAGGCAAGGCTAAATCTACTAGCTTATGGTTGGATGGAAATCCTTTGAGTAGCAAGAAGATCGTTTTCGGCATGATCAAAGTAGCTTCCTTCTGGGCAAGTAAGAGTTTTAACAAATATTCAATAACTTCTTCATTAATTCCTGCTTTATTTTGAATGTAAATACTCATAGCATATTGGAAGGCTGAGGATGTAGCATAGCCTTCAACTCTATCACCTCCATATCTGTCAACAAATATTTCATCGATATCTTTGACTTGAAGATTTGGGGCATATTTCTTATCTTTCATCCACTTCTAAAGTTAAAAATTAATACTGAGATTTACAATACACTAGGTAATTGTACTTACTAGGTTCCAACATTGGTAGGAGTATTTCCCAATCACAAATCCAGCACTATTCAGTTTCTTGATTTCATCCAGAGTTAATTTATCAATAAGCATATCTGGGAGGTACATCTGATAGTAGAAAAGTAGATTGAACTTTGGAATATCTTTTCCGATCTGACCTTTTGTAATAGGGTAAGAATAATAGAAGTAGAAATAAGAACGTGGATCATCGAAGCTTTCCAGGTCATAACCATATTCTCCTTCTCCTTCTTCGTTATTAGCATCTTTTGCTGTGTCTTTGTCTTTTCCTTCAGGATTCTCCATTATTCTTAGAAGCATATCGTCAGATTCGTTGGTCATTTCTAGGAATATATCTTCTTTGAATTCTATTTCGTCAATATGCTCTTTTTGGTTGGCAAAGTACATGAGGAATTTCATTCATTCTTGCTTTACAGTGTCATTTCCCTAAAGATTAATCAGTGCCTTACCTCTGGTGTAACCCAGGGCCTTCTAAAGAATGCATCTCTCATATTTTCGAACCCTTTGCCAGACTGGTAGAATCCTTTGATTGGGTCTCCTAAGTATTCAGCATTTTGGATAGCTCTCTTCTTTTTACATCTAAAATCGAAGTGCTCAAGATATTTTAGAATAACAGGGAAATTATCTCTTCTCATTGCTTCAACCCATGGAAGATCATAATAGTCCTTTATGTTTGAAATCAAAGACAAAGATTCTTCATAGATCAAGTCTAAGGTTATGTCATTGAGCTCAGGTCTTTTGCATAACTCCCAGAAGCAGGAATATTTGATTCCTCTCTTCTTAGCAAATCTTTTATTGTTATGAAGATATTTTAGTGCCTTTACCAAGTCTTTTGCTTTGCTTGTGTCTTTCTTCAAATCTCCCAGTTCAACATTTAGGTGAGAGTATCCTCCAAGTTTGAGGAAGTTCATAAGCACAGAGGTTATTACTTCAGGATCCTGAGCTATTTCAATGAGTTTTCCTGATTTGAAGCCAAAATTCTTCAATATCTCATGAATTCTCTCTGCTGGCATTTTATCTGGGGCATTCATAAAACTGTCGTAACTAAAGATTAGAAGAATAGTTTACTCATTAGGATTTTTGCCGCCTTTCTCTTCCTGTGCTTTGAGAGCATTTTTGTATTGAGGAATTACAGCTCCAAAGAAGTACTCTACAATACTTTTCTCCAAAATTGCTTGATATTTTTCTAATGATTTGAAACATCCCCAGAATACTGCACTACTGAGAATATTCTTTTGATAGCCTAAATATTATTTTCTAAGGATACTCTCCACAGAATGTTCGCCATCGAAGTTTAGCAGATGCTTGCCTTGGACTAGCATGTCAGTGAATGAGTCAAATAGCTGAGCAAAGTCTTTTTCTTTGGTTGCAGCGAGCCTGTTGCTGACAACACACATGAATTCCTAAAAATTACACACAAACCTTACATTGAGTTCAGGCTTCTTTTTAGCCTGCACAAAGGTGTCAATTAGGATATCAAAAGCTGCATTCTGGACTGTCCACTCCAGGTGTTCGTTCACTGTATCGTAGAGATCAGTGAAGAACTGTTTAGAGTCGAACATCGAGATTGCTTTTGAAATTTGGTGATCTGTAGCAAGGAGCTCATCTATCATGCTGATGAAATCATCTTCTTTCAATTTCTTCTCTTCATCTTCTGAGGCATAAGAATTCTTATAAGTTTCCTATAAAGTACTAATAAGTAACAGTAGAGATGAAGCTGAACGTTTAGAGACTTACACTCTGAAAAAGCTGTTTATTCACAATTTTTGCAAGAATGATGCTAAAGATGTCTTTGTGCTTTGTCAAGAATAAGTCCTTGCCTTGCTTATTGGTGGGAACACCTACAACGTTTACCCACATTGAGCTCTTCTTAACGTTGATCTTGCTGATTTCTACCCAAAGATCATTCTTGATCGAACTGATCAGGGGGAAAGTCACAAAGTTGTTATTGCGGTAGGAGAGATGGAACAGAGAAACATAATCTCAGATATAACCTTGATCTAGCAAATGCTGATGTAATTTCTTCGCTTTGACTTTGGCATATTCACTCTGATCATTCTGATCTTTCAGAAGCTCCGGTGTGTTAATTTTGAGTTTCTGCAGAACTTTATAAGCATCAGCTCCAGATCTATTTTTTGTCTCACTGTAAATCTTGTTGGCAAGACTTCTATAATGGCTCAGGAGTTGGTTTTCGGAATCTTTAGAATCCTCATCTCCTTGTATAACCTTTTCTTCAACAAGCTGGTTAAATATTCTTTCAAGGATATCGAACAGTGTGATTCTATTTTCATGCACAATGAAGCTATTGACTTCACCGAGAGATTCAGTTATTTTCTCAATGAAGAAGGTATTCTTGGTCAGGAATGCATACTCCAGAGTGGTTCTCCCAGTAGTGTAATCACAGAAAAACACCGTTGATTCAAGCTCTGGCATTGACTCTAAGAGTTTATCGTACACATCCTGCAAGTTTAGTTGGATGCAAGGAATAAATGGGTGGACCAGAGCTCCCTTTCTCACTTTGAAAATGGTTTCTTGGAAGGAAGTTCTCTCAACCATGAAGTCCAAAACCAACTTCTCAGTTGCATTATTTTGAGTGGAGTTTGACAAATGACATATGAAAGTGGTCAAAGGAGACAACCCATCTGAATCGAGCTGGTTATATAAGTTCGAAGGTTGTACATCTTTGTGGTTATGCAGGACAGATTCTGATAACACAGCCATATACTTGTTGAGAATATCTAGCTTAGTTGCCAGAGTCAACCTGGGATTCAAAAATAGTAAGTGAAGGATATTGTGGTTTTTCTGATCTTTTAACGCAATATCTACATTGACTATTCTGTTGACAAAGATCTTCTCGAATAGATATTCTACCATCTCTGTGTCCCCGTTGGTGAGAATTGAAAGGATAGGAGTCAAGCCAGTTGCCTTATGAATTCTGTTCATTTCTGTATTGATATCCGTGATAAACAATGTTTTTCTGACCTTGTCAGGAGACTCATCCCAGTGGTGAAGAATCAAGTCAAGATACAGGTTATCTTTGAGAAGACACAGACTGTGCACAAATGAAAATCCTAGAGTGTCAAATCGGTCTTCTTCAGGAAGCTCTTCTTCTTTTCCTTCAAGGGCACTTTCAAAGTATTCTTCAAATGCTCTAAAATCGTCGTCAATCATGTGCTTGACCAATGGGGAGTACTTATTATCAAGGATTATCTGAATAGACTTTCCGTTTCTTGACACTTTGTCTAGATCAAAGTTGAAATCTTCAGCATGCTTCTCTGCGATCATTCTGATTAGGCTCACTTTCTTTTGTTCTACTGCATGATCAAGTATTGTCTTATTGTAATTATCTGTGGTCTTGACATCAAGCCTGGTGTTTAGTCCTGCCTTCTTAATCACCTCAAGCAGTATGTCAATAAAGTCGAACTTTCCTTGCTGTGCAAGCACATTGAAGGGAGACTCGTTGATGATCTGCTGGCTCAGGAAAGTATTGGCAAACAAGTCAACTCTGTTGCCGTACTGATCAAACACTAGAGGATTTGCAAGAATATCTTTTCAAACTTCTGTAGTGATCTCTTGGAAGAGCTCTTCATCTCCAGCATCAGTGAAGAGTTTGACTATATAGAATGATTCACAAAAGAAAATGCAGGTGAAATGTTTAGAATATCTTCTAAGCTAACACTCAAGGTGTTCATTTGTATAATAAAGACAAAATCTTTTTTATGAAATCTAACTCGTTCATAAATCTTATGAAATTAACTAGTAAAAGTAAGCTTAAAAAGATATCCTATGCTAAAATGGAGTACTAGTGTTGAGATTCTGATATCTCTTAGGAACAGAAATTTTCATATTTATAAGCCTTTAGAGCTACAATTTCAAGGAATAGTGGCAATTATATAAAACAGTTACTCAGTCCAAAGGACCATTTGGTTCATTTAGAGTTACCTCAGTAATAGTAGTAGTTGTGATGTAGGATAGGTCTGAGCAAATAAAACTGGGGCTTGTTCTTGTGCAATGTCGTCATAATAATATCCTTCTTGACACTCTTGGTCACACTGGGATCCTTGAGGAGATCCATATTCTTGTCTGAAGGATCATAGAAAGTTTCCATAATAAATCCTAAAATAAAATTTTATTTGGTATAATATTTTCTCGGGGTTTTGGGGTTTTGGGGTTTTGGGGTTTTGGGG